CTGTTCCTGCTTTTTATTAGCCTTAAGTATATTTTGAGTTTGGTTACAATCAAGACTGACAACTGGCAGTAAACTACCGCAAAATAATTGTTCAATACAGTTTTTTTCCTAGGCAAGACATTTTACTTGTATTTGCATCTTAGAGAACCAACATTTAAAGACAATATTAAACAGAAAGACAAAAATACTTTCCATAATAAATCTTTTAGGGAATGAATCAAAATCTACAGAGCATAATCAAAAGTGTTAGATTACCAATGGTGGTGTTGTACGTTAAAAATACAATGTTAATTAAACACTTGTTTAGTCAAATTTAAAGATAGGTTTGTCAGTTTCCCTAAAGAAATGGTGTTTGATAAAGAGTTGCTCCCACAATCGCAACGTATCTGTGACGTTACGTGTTTGCCTGGGAGACAGCAGTATGGCGTCTTGTCTGGAGCTTATCATAACAAGGTAAGTTCCCCAAAGCTATTAAAACATGCTCTTTATGTTCTCTCTTTAATGTATTTATGTAATGTAATGGTGATGTATTGTCTCAATGTTTGTAACTCCCTGGCGGACATTATACCACAATGTATGCTGCGTTATACTGTTATGTATTCTGTATCTCAATAAAGATCTATTTAAAAAAACAAACAAAAAAAACATGGTAAGTTCCATGTTAAGACCATCATGTTTTTAATTTTGATTATTTTTTATGAATGCATTAACTTTCTCTTTGTGCAAGAGTATCAACTTAACATAAGTTTATTTGTTTGAATATCGCGGTACGACTGTTCAGTACAGGGGAGCTCAAGTCCAGTCCTTGAGAGCTGCCATCCTGCAACTTTCAGATGCTTCCCCGCACCAATTAACACACCTGAATCAAATGAATGGCTGGTTAGCAGGTCTGTTCGGAGCTGATCCTGGTCTGTTGGAGTAAAGATGCATCGAAAAGTTGCAGGACGATAGCTCTCGAGGACTGGATGTGAGCACCCTTGGTTTATTATTTTTGTTAGCAGCTAAAGCTAGCCAAGCAGGTGTAGCACGGGGTGTCGGGTCATTAAACGAACACTAAAACTGTCAGAAAGGTCGTTTGAGTTAACATTATTTAGCTGCGGAGTCGTTTTCTTGAAGTTTTCGGCTATAGACGGCATAACGGGGAGAGTGGCTGTGCTGGACCAGTGGTTTGATCTATGCGATCAAAGCTGAGCCAAAATGTTTTTGTCTCTATAAATAATAATGATAATAAACAATGACATATTGGCTGCCTATTTTTTTCTTATCTTTATTATCCTAATGTGTCTGCTATTTATCCTGTTGTTCCTCCAGGCTGGGAAAACCAGGCATTCTTCTGTTGGTTCATGTGCTTCGTAGGCCACAAGAAGAATCCAAAACAGCTCATGTCAAACTGTGGACCATGTTTTCAGATATGTGCAGGTATGTGGTTATTCTAATGATCCTACTTCTTTGTAGAAGCATTTCCTCACTGGCTTTGTTTGCTATCTGAATGTAGCTGTGCTGCTAAATATATTTAATAATTTTTATTATTCGTCTTCTTATCATTATGTCAAAGATGCAAGCCAGTGTTGAAGCCTTCCTCATTGCCGTGCAACCAGGACAGCCCTTCCTCCTGCATGTTGGTGAAAACAAGAGCAGCACCAAAGACACTTCACCATCAGTGATCACAAGATCATCCAAGGTAGCTTTTGATGAACTTTCAAAGCACACTTCACCTTCAGTGCAAAGTACCATGAATTCCTCTACGTCTGTAAATTAATCCAGCCTACAGTTTTCAACATTGATGTGACTTGAACGACAATTGAGGAGTTTAAGATCCTTGCTTTTACTTTACCTGGCAGAGTGGACACTCTTTATTATGATGATCATTTAAATGCATACTGTATCAATAAGAGGATTTGTTTTATCTTCTTCCAATTAAGGACTTGGTTTATTACAGTCCCTGTGGCAAGCAGTTTTCTGCATGGTCAGCATTGAAGGCCATATTGTCTTTGAGAGGGTCCAGCCAACATTCCAGACAGGACAGTGTTGTTCATCTTCAACCTCCAATATCAACATGAGGCAGCCAAGACTTTGGAGTTCATTCAACGGTAAAACCATTCCTATAATTTTTTTTACAATGACATGGTTTTAAAGTTCTAAAGCAAGTTATGATTAACATTTGACAAAGGTGGTGATGTTTTCTCTTTACGTAATTAAAAACAGCTTTATTTATATATTGTACCAGCTGTATTCAAAATGCCACACTATTTGTATTCTCAGGAATTTTCCCATTTTTGATTTTGTTTTTTAGTCGCTTCATTGGGAATAACCCAGAAAGGGGCACAAAGGCCGGTCAAGGGGAAAATGGTATCCAAACAGACAGGAAAGACCATACAAAAGAAAAAGTGACGGTTCAGGTTTCCACCCTCATCAAAAACCTGATGGACTTTGAGTGGCATCTCATTTAGGTTAGTTGTTCTTTACTTTTCTTTGAAATATTTCTGTTTCCATATTATTTAGGATCTAAATTGTATTGTCTCTTCTTTTTCCATGTTGGACGGTGCCTTCATCTGCATCTAATAAAGTAAGTGCCACTTGGACTCTTGAAAACCACATTTTAAAACCCTGTTAATACTAGAATTCCACATTATTTCAGCCATGTTGAATTTTAGATTTTGGAAGTCCTTTTTCATTGATTTGTTTAGTGATACCCAAACAATGGATATTTCTTTAAGAACTGTGTTTATATGTTCATAAGATTGTAAAAATTAATGAGATAAACCCAGTTTATGTCGCTGTAAACTGAAAGTCTTCAATTTTTATTCCAGTGTTAGTGAAACTATATATTGACTTTGAAGGCCTATTTTTTACCAGTTCTCTGAGGAATGGTTTTGTTTTATTTGTTTTGAATGTTTGAAGATATTGGAAATATATGTGGTTTGAGGCATAGTGGTGCCTTTAAATAAAAATTCTGTTCTGACGGTTACTTATCGCATCCTCTTTTGTGTTATGTAAAGTTCTGATTATGCAGATTATGCATTTTAGAACCGCACCAATTGTACCACTTCTAAGAAGCCTACACTGGGTCAGGTATTAATGTTCTATCGTAAAACTAAGACTGTACTTTAAAAAGTAGCATTACAGTTTTCTTGGCAGTAGTTTACTCATAAAGTGAATGCAGGAGTAAAACTAAACTTACTGTTAAAAATACTGGAACGCTACTATCTGAAGGTATATTTACTTTCACCACTGTATTTTACGGTGGCCAACAGGTGCAAAGACGCGAAAAACACATGCAACAAAAAAGAGATGCAAACAAAAAATGCTGAAAACAGAAGTGATCCAGACCACTAGGTGGAGTCGAACAAAGAACAGCTGTGTCCGAAGTCAGGTTTTGCATCTTTGGGTCCTCGACAACCGGAAGAGAGAAGCTGTAGCTTTCAGCTAGCTGCTTAGCCTCTACCTTGGCGTTATGTTGCTTAGCAACCATGACAACGTGAATCACGTAGCGGCGAAGAAAAAAAACGGACTCGAAATATTTTTTTTCTCCTGATTTCTCTATTACTTTTCACCTTTTGTAATAAAGGCTGTTGCATATTTAAAAAATCTGTAAGTCTGATTCTAAAATGTTCAAACACGTATAGCACATTTACACAAGGAATGTAAGCAAAGAATCCCTTTTCAGATACTCTCCAAATATCAGGTAAGACAATACAGTTTAATCAAACTATTGTATTTTTAGGCTTAACTTTAATCAGTCAAACCGATTTGCTCAGGAATATATTAAATATTTTAGTGAACCAAAATATTACAACTAGATGTTACCTGACTTAACTGTCATTTGGGAAAACCCAAATGAGTCAGGTGTTCTAAACCTGGACCAGCTGGCAGCAGGCGAGGGGAGCTGGGTGTTAATGCAGCGGGAGCAGAAATCTCCGAAAACGTCGGAGCAATATTGCAATTAGGTGATGCACTGATGAACCGAGCAGAAATGTGAGATTTATACATCTACATTCTCGCCTACAAACATTGTATAAATCGTGTCACGGTTGCTAAGCAACATAACGCCGAGGTGGAGGCTAGGCAGCTAGCTGAAGGCTACAGCTTCTCTCTGCAATGCTCTCTGCCTTCGCAGGACCCCTCTTCCGTTTCTCGTTTCTCATATCGTTTCTCAAGCCCATGACAGAATAAGCTTGAAAGGATGCAGACCCTGAACTCGGACACAAAGCTCTAGTGGTCTGGAACACTTGTTTTTATATATATTTTTTGCATCTCTTTTGTGTTTGCGTCTTTTCTTTGTATTTGTTTTTCTCGTGTTTGCTGCGCATTTGCACCTGTCGACCACCATAGTATTTTAACGATTCTGTATTTTAGTTCTGCTGGTGTCCATATGGTTATGTGTATTTGTTATAAGTTGCATTGTGATCACTGTTATGTGTAGAGTGTTATGGGGTTCCCCTGTCTGACTCTGCTGACTCCCACTCACATGTGATGGACCTGTCATGTGGGCGGGGGATCAGGGGAGCGAGAGGACCAGGACCGATGCTGATCTGACAGAACACCGGAAGAGCGGAGAGTTCAGTGTGTGTTAGCAGTGAAGCTATTCAGTTGAGTGTAACGATTTGTTAGAGGGGCGAGCTGCAGCCTAAGGAATAGCAGCTCGCTATTATTTCTAATAAACCCTGGTGACGGTACTACATCTGCGGTGTGTTGGCGTCATTACAGTATTTACTTACAGTACTACACCACTTTAAAAGGTACAGGATTGAAAAGGTAAATGTGGTATCTACAGACGCCAGCTTTTTTTTTTTTTTTTTTTTTACCGTTTTTTGGAAAGAACGGTAAAAAAAAAAAAAAAAACTGGCGTCCGTAGCTACCAGTATTTTTTGTTATCGTTATTTCAGAAAAAAAGGTAGATTACCGTTCTTACGAAAGAACGGTAAACCACTGGCAGCTATAGACGGCAGTATTTTACCGTTCTTTCAAAAAACGGTAAACTACTGGCAGCTATAGACGCCAGTATTTTACCGTTCTTTCAAAAAACGGTAAACTACTGGCAGCTACAGACGCCAGTATTTTACCGTTCTTTTAAAAAAACAGTAAACCACTGGCAGCTATAGACGCCAGTATTTTACTGTTCTTTTGAAAAAACCGGTAAACTACTGGCAGCTACAGACGCCAGAAGTTTACCGTTATTTCACAGTATATATACCGTACTTGCATTGACGGTAACCTACTGTCAGGATTAATTACGGTACAGCTACTGTGTATTTACAGTAAACTTCTGGCGTCTATAGCTGCCAGTATGTTACTGTAAATTTACAGGATTATTTCTTAGAGTGTACATAATAGAACAACCTGATGATCAGATTCATCATTTTTTACCCGGATTATGTTTCTGTTGGTAAGAGACAGTTCCTCTCTGCACTCCCCCAAAGAGATGTCCACTCACTAACAGATTGTCTTCAGGTTGTTGGGCTGTTCGTGATGTTTGGCCGGGAACATCAACATGCTCCTCTACTGCATTAGACAGTCTTCAGTCTCTGAGTACGACAGCCAGTGTCGTGTCGGTCTCTGGATCATAACAAACAAAAAACATAACAATGAGGAATGGAACGAATGAATACATTTTTACTACAACTCTAACAACAAGCCTCAATTACAGAAATGTAGGGTTTCAGAGATATTAACAGTTACATCATCATTTTTGGAGCTTGAATCTTCGAAGAATCCTTGGAAGTGTAGCCCAACTATATACCACTTTAAAGTAGGTAAGGGCTCCTGAGTTCGTTAAACCTGTGAACTCACAAATAATAACTTTCATACACTCTCGTGTGTAGACCTATGTTGAGTTTCACCCTTAGAGAAAGATTACATCAGCACTTGTCTGTACTACAAAAAAAAAAAAATCAAAACACACCTTTATGAGTTTGGAACTGGGGAACATGTATTAAACATAAACGTAAAATCACAAAACACACAATACTTCAATCTTCTATGTAGCTAATGTGGGCCCACACTTAAATGTTCTCCTAAGCCGGCAATAACGAACTAAAATGCGGTCCCAAACAAACCCGTTGCAGGCCTGATGCGATGAGGAAGCGTGGAATAGCTGCACCTCACTCCAAGGAAAAATCTTTATCCTGAGTCACAGTTGTCCACATGGTGTCAGCTCCTCCTCCAGTCCTTCGGTCCACCGGATCCGGGAAACAGCAGGAAAAACCGACACAGTCCTCCGGCAAACCAGAATGCTCCCACGAAGTTTCCTGGTTGCCGAGCTAGCTCCCAGTACTAACAGGCACAGTTAATTAGCATTCACGGCGCTAGTGAATGTTATGCGCTATGGCGAGCATCACCGATAATTTTCACCCAACTGTATAATGAATTTGATTTGAAATCCTCACAGTAACTATAATAAGAGCGTGAAGTTGACATCTATAAATAAGCTGTCGAATTGAAAGCTTAGACACTTACATATCACTCTTAAAAACTCCCCACGTTTTTCCAGCGCGGTTAATCTCTCTTTTTCTTTCCCTCTCTCTCCTTACTTCCTGTCTCTTCCCTACGTTCTCCCATCTGCCCCTGACCCTCAGCCAACCACGGACCAGTAAGGTTGCTGTGCTCTACACCACTTCCTCTTACAAACATGAGCCCTTCAAAATAAAATATGGTAAAGATTTCTTTCTGTTTTAACTACATATTTCCCAAATATTTTAACTTATTATATCCTGTTACATCAAATACCTGTAAATACAGCTTTTTGTTAACACTTATTTATAACAATTTTAACATATTTAAGCAAACATGTTTAACACATTTTAAATTATTTCACCCTTCATGAACTTAACTCAAACAAAATACCTTTAATTTAGACTGGGTTACA